GAGGAGGAGGAGGAGGAGGAGGAGGAGGAGATTGGATTTATACCTCGCCCTTCACTCGGAGTCTCAGAACAGCTTACAAACTCCTTTCCCTTCCCCTCCCCACAACAGACACCCTGTGAGGTAGGCAGGGCTGAGAGACCTTTGAGAGAACTGCTCTTTCAAGGACAGCTCTGACAGAACTATGGTTTGTCCAAGGTCATCCAGCAGCTGCGAGTGGAAGAGTGGGGAATCAAACCTGGTTAGAGTCCGTGCACTTAACCACTACACCAAACTGCATTGCTAAGCAGAGGAAGGAAAAGGCGCCACTCAAAATCCATCAGTGACATCAGCCCGGCCTCCCATTCGCTAGGCACTCCTCTGCCTTCGCCACCTGCTGGCCTCACTCCTCCAGTGGCTCCTCCATTGGTGGTCATCGTTCCCTCTGAGGCCTTTTCTGCTTCTGCCATTACCCCACCTCCACCTGTCCCTTCCTTTCTTCAAGGACTGCCCAGGCGAGCCGCTTCTCCCACCATGTTTAGACAGCCACTTCAAGGCCTCTGGGATGGTACCCCCCTTCTGGTGCTGACAGAAGAAGACTTGGTCATCCTCCAGTTGTCAGCCTGAAGCGACCACACCTGAAGCGATTTCCACCTGAAGCGATTTCCCGTTATCAAAGCGTTTCTGGCGATTCCTACAGAAGAGTGCCACACTTCTAGGCTTCTCTCTGGAAGTGATGTCATGCAGTAGTCAATGGCTGACCCCCATGCCCTGCCCCCAACCTCCTTGTTGCTAGGCCGGGCCCGGCGACCCTTTGTCAAGCTCTTGGGTATCCCATGGCAAGGCTAGGGTTACGAGTCCTCTGGTGGGGGTGGAGGTGGGGAAATGTTTTTTAAAGGTCTGTTGATCCTATGGCATGATATCACAGGGATGCTGGCCCTGGAGACGGACAATCACCAGATGTTCTAGATAGAGGTCCCAGTCGTAGGAGGCAACGTGAGAGAAGACTGCCTTTGGTAGAGGGCCACAGACAGGTATCTCTTAGGGCGATGGGAAGAGGGACAAGTGGGGCAGACAAGCCTCTATCTCAAGGCATATAAAGGCACTTTATGAATACAGGGCATGTTGGAACTAAGAACGAAGCCCCTGGCAGGTCTACAAAGCACCAAGGTGGATTGAAACGTATCAGCAAGCTGATAGACAAGAGCAGGGGTCATTTCGTAGAAGAAGATGGGGCAAAAAAGCCTCTATCTCAAGGCATATAAAGGCACTTTATGAATACAGGGCATGTTGGAACTAAGAACGAAGCCCCTGGCAGGTCTACAAAGCACCAAGGTGGATTGAAACGTATCAGCAAGCTGATAGACAAGAGCAGGGGTCATTTCGTAGAAGAAGAGGTGCAGGAGCTCATTAGCATAACTCATTAGCATAACTCATTAGCATATGACACACCCCCTGAGATCACCAGAAGTGACAGAAGGCCACACCCCCTGACATCACCGGAAGTGTGTCAGAAGGCCCGGCTACTTACCCTCCTGCTTCATCCTCATTGGGGCAGGGGGGGGGCTCTGCAGTGTACCTGGTTGCTTCTTGCTCTGACTGAGGGCTGCTGGGAGCAGGGGGTGGGGCTTGTTGCATGTGCCCGCCCCCTGGGCTCTTTACTGCCGGACAAGAGCATCGGTTCAAAAAAAACAAATCTCCAAAATGCACTTTCCATTGTTCCTCCTCCTCCCTTATTCCACTCTCTAAACAGAGATTAAAGGATTGCATAATGGAGGGGAAACAAATTATCTCCGGAAATGAATTGCCGTGATATTGCCATAAACTTGCAACCGCCCCTGAGCAATGATGGGGGGTCAATGCTCCTCCATTTGATATAATGATCATGCAAATAAAGAGAATTTATTTATGACTTCTGGGCATGGAGCAAATAATGAGGTCCTTAATTGAGTCGGCCTTTGTCTTAAGCATTATTTATAACAACCGTCTCGGATGAGCGGGATACATGACTCCAGGAAAACAGAGCCGGGCTGTTTTGTTTTGCTAACCCCTCAAAGCTCGGATGGATTTCTTTCCCCCATACTGGAGAATAAAAAGCACAAAGCAAAGTTGTACCAACACTCACTCATTCAAAAAACAAATAAAAGCAACCGCTGTTTCCACACTTGGGAGAAGAGGGCGATTTGGATTTTACGGTTCACACACGGTTTTATGGATTGTCATAATTAGCACAGAGACTTCACTGTTCAAAGCTCTTCACATGCACCGGAGCAGATTCTATTGTGTGCAACTGGAGATCAGTTGTAATAGCATCTCCAGCCAGTTAGA